GGACACGGGGGGGGGGGGCGGCAGGGCGGCTGGGACACCATATGGCCTCTGAGAGCTTTTCCTTAGACACAAAATTAAAATAACCTGTATCAGAATATTCCTAAGGAGGAGGAACAAGTCATAGGAGCCGATGTGGGAAGATCATATGAAGACTACAGTTTAAAGACAGTTTATCAAATCCTACCCAAATGGTGAGACATTTTACATATCTGCTTCCAGATCATGCCGAAGGAAGAGCAGCATGAACCAACTTCTAGACACCAGTCAGCCTCGTCACCCTGGAATGCGCACTACTGGAGCTGTGTGGCCCGAGGTGAGGWTTCTGAACCAAACTTGAATTTTAGACCAGAACGATTYCCTCGGTGCAGTGAGGTATTCTCTTATGAAATTTCTTCTCCAACTTCCTTTGTGCCTGAAAAGAATCAGTTCATGCTGAACACCCAGCTGTGCCTGTTCAAGCCAAGCCTGTCTTGGTACGGCTCTCCCAGGACCCACCCGGGAACCCGCCGTGGCCAGAGGTGTACAAGAGGAGGAACCTTTGCTTCTGAGCACGGTCCYGGCTCTTTTTCACTTTATCATATGAGTCTCTTCATCTGCATCGTAAAACTCTTCCTCTTCCTCACTCTCACTCCCTACAGGGCTCTCCTTGTCTGCAGGCTGAAACAGGAAACAACGGGGAGAGGGCAGAGAAATGATGTCATGACATTCCGAGAGTGGAAAATTATCACCTAGCCCTCCAAATAACACATGTGTTTTGATGACATCTATTCCCCTAAGTAGTCCCCGAAGTGTTCTAAGAAAGCTAAGGAATCATCAGACYTCTTTATTTTTTTCTGAAAACCAGCTGCTATCAGATCCCACCTTTGTTTTCCATTCTACTGAATCTAACTGGAACATTCTTATTATTTTTTTTTAACAACAACCATCATCCAAGCAGAAGACTCGAACAGTTAAGATAAAGATTCTCAGCCCTACCTGCGGAGGATCCAAGGTCTGTAAGGACAGGGCTTCCTCCCCCAGCCGACGATAGGAGTACATCTGAAGGTCAGAAAACGTCTCCAGCAACGGGCTATTTAGAGTTTCTGGCAGTAACAAACTCAAGAGGCCCGAGGCCAGACCCGTGGCTCCAAATACAATGAAGGGGAGAGACCACTGCACATATTTCTGCATGGGCAGAGAGTGGGACCAGAACAAASGAAACTCAGTGTCAGTTTCCTCTGCGCATGACATCAAGCAGTCTCGTGACTGAAACTGTCATGTTTAATTATCCAGTCTGGGCTTCCCACTAGATTACACCATAATCCACCTTTTCTTTGCTCATAGAGAATTTTTCCGGGAAATCACTGGGTGATGCCTCTGGCATGTAGAGACGGGGCCAGGTAAATCAAGAGGGAGCAAAGGAATGTGGACCCGCAGCATGGGACCACCTCACGMAGCGGTGGATACGGTGGAACAGGAGGCCAGGGCAGGCCATGCAAGGGTTCACAGGAAATCTGGTACCCAGCTTCTGTTCTCTGGAAAAGTGGTTCCTAACAGTGATCTCCACGTGCTCTTCACAGGAGAGACACCCCAAGATATTTGCTGAGGATGAACTTTAAAGTTCTCTGTTCTGAAATCAGCCAAACCATGCCATATACTTTAACCCCTTATGGAGGGACCCAGGGATTAAAGAGATAAAATCCCTGAAAAGAAAAGAATACTACTACCTACATAGGATTTTTAAACTACTAAAATTGAACACGGTAAAAGGCTGGCCCTATAAGCAATTGCTTCAGAGATTCAAAAGATATTCTTAGGAAAAGCTAATGTTCTCTTTCAATACAAACAGGTTCAAAGAAACACACAAAAAAGAGATGGCAAGATGCTGCTTCGCCGCCATTGGAGCCGACTAGTAACATTCTAGAGTTCCTCCTGTACAGATGTGCTAGGGTTTATGATCTTCTGGTTTGGACTTGCAAATTCTGGTGGGCACTAATGAGGATTCTCCCTCAGACCATTTTTTTTTTTTCCTAATTTTTCTAAAGTGAAGAGGTGATGGAGAGGATGAAAGAAGCAGGAGAGGGGAGGGGAAAACAGAGTTAGGAGAGAGGATAGGGACAAGAGGGAGGAGAGAGATCTCTCGTCACATGTTACCTACTGCACACAAACCCAGGGCCTGCACTGTGGGATCCCGGCAAGGGGAACACAGCACTTTTCCTCCTTGCGGGAAGGGGAAGACGGGATGCTGGGGATTACAATGTTCAGGAACAGTCACCCAAAGTCAGGTCGTTTTACCAAATATACGCCTCGCGTCCCACAGGTGTTCTGCCTAATACAACTATGGAATTAACATGATTCCTCCGTAAGAAGAGTTASGTGACCTAAAGTTGCGCATGGGACATGGAAAGATATATTCAGGGAAAGGAAGTACATTGCAACTCTGAAAAGAAAAAAGATAAGGGTCACATTTCAGTCACCCCATACTAGGAAGTGGGGGGTTAAGCTGCCTGAGTGATGAACAGTAGTCCGCAGAGAAGGTCTAGGAGCCCTACATCAAACCTTGGTTACCTTTCCACAGATCAGACCAAGGACAGACCTGCATGGGGCCCTGGGGCTCCTACCCAGAACCTGAGCATTATAAGACTGGAAGGATTTTATGGCTGTCATTCAGTCTCTCCCCTTTTTTTGCACTATGAAACCTAGAAAATGCCCCCAAAATTGTGTGTGTGTGTGTAAATGTGTGTGTGTGTGTGTGTGTGTGTGTGTATTAACAAATACATTATATTATATCTGAAGACTGCTAGGCATATTTCTCTAGTTTTCTTTTCCAGATGGTGTGAGAGGAAGACATTTAATCTGTTTCTGTAGCATTCTCATCTTTAATACAGGGGTGACGATGACACCTACCTCATACAGCTATCGTCAGGGTTACACGTGATGACATGCATCCAGGGCTTAGCACAGAGCCCTGAGCAAAGCAGGCACTTCATGAAGACTTACTAATTGATTAACTTATGAATGGACACAGGAAGGAGACGACCTAGCATCAGCTGACCCTCCAATGAAATCAGAGGAACAAAAGCTCAGATCCTTCATGGGTAAAAGCAAACCAATCCATTCTGCCTAGACTGAGTACTGGGTTCTTAATCTAAAAGGCATATGTTCATTTTTGTGTCTGTTGATCTTAACCGGCATCTGTGTGTTACCTCTCTCTCTATGCAAAAGCACAAGCATTTCCAAAGCAGAGAATCAAGAAAAATTAGGAGGTACAAACCAACCAGTGAGGGGACGAAGGGAGCAATAATCCCACCAATTCGGGAGAACATGGAACACGTTCCTAGCCCAACATTCCTGAAAGCATAAGAAAAAGGAAAATAAAAATTATATCAGTAGGTTGGTTCCAGCGGGACAATTTAAAGACAGTATATACACATGTGCGGGCACGTTTGTGTTTGTGTGTGGTGTGTGTATAGGGGCTGGGGGAGTAAAATAGGCCCAGAACAGTGTATACCCAAGTGGAAGCACAGTATCCTATAGAGYGGCACTGCCCATTACAACTTTCTGTGATGCTGGACGTGTTCTGTAATTACGACGTCCAATACAGAAGACACTGAACACATGAGGCTACTGAGTACTTGAAATGTGGCTGGTGAGGACAAGAAAATGAATTTTTAGTTTACGTAATTTTAATTAGTTTAAAAAAGATGGTGGAAGGAGATGGACATCATTACCGCAGGTACACATATGACTGCACATATGGTGCAACACTGCATCGTGCACAGAGAAATGAAAAGTTGTGCTGCAATGGTGCACAATGAATCCAAATGCATTCTGCTGACACATAGACCTAATGATAATTAATTAATTAAAAAATAAATGATCACATGAGGATAATAACTACTATATTAGTGCATCTATAGAGGATGAAGTAGAAATGAACATCTGTTATCTGATGCTTTTATGTTTTTTTGTGTCTTGAGTCTCCAATCAGTTAATATAGCCGTAGAGAGCCAGGGCTTCATATTCCCAAAAGTCTGACCATTTATTTAAATTCAAGTATTAAAAATTCAGAACATAAATAGGAATCGATTGTGTGTACACTGTCAGGTAACCCAGAATATTMCTTTTGTTGGGAGGGGGCAGAAAAGAGGATGGTAGGGAGGGAGAAGGGCRGAAGTTCTAGATAGGGTGGCCGGCCATACACCACTCTGTAGTCTCAGCCTCATTGTTAATAATGTCCACATTTGCTTTCAAGTTGCCCTAGTTTGGATAACATTCTAGTTTCAAGGCCAATAGCCGGACAAACTAGGTTGTGGGAATAATCAGGAAATGAGCAGCCAATCTCTGAAATATGATCTGTTACTGGGGAAAGGGATTTTAAACTAAGAGGAAGAAAGAACCCTTGGTCTTATTGCATGGCTAAGGGAATGAGAAGGATCCACTTACAATGATCCTCAAAAAGACTGGGAAAGGACTGCTTGAGAAAAACCTGACCCAGCCCCCTGAGGTCATTCTGAAAGGTATAAGCTGCATCCCAGGCCACCCTTTAAATTTGAATTAGTTTCTTGTTTTCAGACTTATTTTATGAGGGGAAATTTAGGACAGAATACGTTCTTTTTGACATCTTCCCTTCCAACTCATTTAAAACCACCTGTAACAATGAACGTTGGAAAGAAATCTAACATTCACTTACGACTGTATGAGATGATCGGTATAATGTTTTAAAATGTACACTTAAACATAATTAATATATTTTGGGCTAAAACAGAGCCTCTGTGAGAACAGCAACCTTGTCTGCTTGTCACTTATATGCCTGACACTGGATGGGTGAATGCATAAACCAGATTCAACAAAATAAAACCAGGACCAAGCCCTGTTTGGATGACGGGACGTGTTTAGTGTGGAGCATGTAAAACCTTATGATTTACATGAGGGGAGTTCAGCTGGGACCAAGCCACACAGGTGAAGAGCAGCCCATAGATTCTGAGGAGCTGTTGCTGCTGCCCCACAGAGTCCCAGTGCGAGGAATGAATGGTCAGTCTGGTGTAAGCAAACCCAGAAGGTCTGGAGGGGGCTTGGCCGAACCTAACGCGTACCTGATGATGGTGGGGTAGAGCTCCGAGGTGTAGATGTAAACAATRTTAAAGGCAGCACTGATGGTCAGCTTCCCCAGCAGGGACAAGGAACGGCTGTTCACCACTGCAAACACACCTGTGTCTGTGGAGGACAGGACACACCCGTGAGGTCCACCGCGCCACAATCCCTTCAAAGGACACATTGCCTTTTGAAGGAGGGAGAGGCCTGCATGGAAAACTCCAGCAGCAAAAAGGCAGCAAAACTGAACACACACTGGGAAGGTGKAGTGGTCACAAACACACACGCGGTATTTCCTCCATGCCTGGGCTGTCCCCTGGGGATCRGATACACTGGTGAGATAAAACTTGCACTCATTCCTGAAAGCCCCTGAAAACTTCTGCCCTGGAGGAAGTAAGCTCATCTACTAAGGGTGCCKCTCGACTCTTCTTCCTGGTCTTCTTCAATCAGTGATGTAACACCGTGTCAGCAKGACCCGCCCTGACAGAKGGAAGACAGACGGAAGRTCCGGAACAGTTCCCRTTCCTTGGTRGGTTAGCTYTCTGTTCCTGTAACAAATACCTGAGACAATCAGCTTATTAAGAAGAAAAAAAAATTACTAGGCCTCACAGTTTGGGAGGTTTCAGGCCATGATCAGTTGACCCTGTTGCTCTGGGCCTGTGGCCAGGYAGGACTTCATGTAATGGTATTTAAGTTCCTTGATGTTTTGTTTTTTTGCATAAAATGCAAAAACATATCTTATGCCAGTTCATTTTCTTATCAAGTATCTTATCAATTAGCTTGTGGTTCTTCTCTTTATTAACATTTATGCTCTCTCAGAGTCTACCATTTAATTATTGCCTGCCAAACAAATTTAACCTCTCCCCTCCTATAATCCATTTGCTTCTATCTTCCAAATAGTCATTTTTTTTTTCCTTCTGAGAAGCAATGATTTTTTTCCCTTTCAAAATGTCACCACGGAGTAGCCACCATTCCATATCCTCAAATGCACCTGCCCTAAAACACACAGCCATCTGTTTCCAATACCATCCCCTCCCGAAGTTCCTACTTTGGAAGGTCAATAGCAATGTTCTAATCACAGTAGGTAATTGCTTCGAATTCTCCTTGACATTTCTGCCCAGTGGAGCACCCTTGTTCCCTTCCTTGGGACTGTGTGGCTCCTATAAACCACTCTTCTCTTAAATGGCTCCAATAAAATATTCTCTCCATCCTTTGACCTCCACCGTCCCTACCTTCTGATTCATTCTGTGGCTGTGCCTCAGAGACTACCTTGTGGTTACTTACTTTTTTCATCTCGCTGGTCCAAAAATATTTTTTGAGTCACCTCGGGCTAACATTGGAATCTCTTCTTTTCCTCTGCATGTGCCTAGGACTAGGTATATTGTTGTTCATTAAACACTTGTTGCACTGACAAGTGGCAGAACTACGATAGTTCATGTTCTCCCGACTTCTTGGGAGGAAGGTTTATAATATGCCTTGCTCCAAAAAATAAGTTTCACCTTCCCTGATTGACCGAAATAAATCTTCATCAACTTTAACATGGAATCCGGATACAGTGGTCCCTCTGYCCCATTTGACCATCTGGGGCTGTTTTTTCCTCTTCTGCCAAGATTTTTAGGAAAAGATGTTAGCTCTKTTAAGTAGTCTGTATTTTTAAGATACAAGGTCTTGGGGGAAGAAGAATCAGGCCCTTCTGCATTTACCCAAAGACCTGTTGATGGACTTTTGAAGATCTAATTGAAGCCAAGAATGAGGGCAAATTAAATTTATCACTGTCTTCCAGAAAACTGAGTCAAAAAAAAGGTATTTGGGGGAGAGAAAAGGGAAATTGCATGGAAATGGAAGGAGACCCTCATTGTTATACAAAATTACATATAAGAGGTTGTGAGGGGAATGGGAAAAAAAAACAAGGAGAGAAATGAATTACAGTAGATGGGGTAGAGAGAGAAGATGGGAGGGGAGGGGAGGGGGGATAGTAGGGGATAGGAAAGGTAGCAGAATACAACAGTTACTAATAGGGCATTATGTAAAAATGTGGATGTGTAACCGACGTGATTCTGCAATCTGTATTTGGGGTAAAAATGGGAGTTCATAACCCACTTGAATCTAATGTATGAAATATGATATGTCAAGAGCTTTGTAATGTTTTGAACAACCAATAAAAAAAAGAAAACAATAAAAAAAAAAAGGTATTTGGTGCCACCGAAGCAAGGAAAAATATGCACATCTGCTTGACTACAAATGATTTTTGAAATGGGTTTCCATTCAGGGGATGTCATCTTTCCGACCACACAGAGGCACTTGACAACATCTTTAACAACACACAAAAAGGACTACTGTCCTGAAATTTAAATTCCAATGGTGGAACACAGAAACTTTATTTCTGAACACCCCCACACAAGACCCAAAGCTGGAAGAAGACTCCTGTGTGAGGCTGTGGCACATCTGGGGAGCCTGGCTACAGCCATGCGCCCACAGAGTGTCCCCATCAGTCTCACACCCCATCTGCTGCTTGAGACTTCTCTCCTATGTTCCTGCCAACAGATCTGCACTCATTACTTGAACCTGGGGGAATTCGCTTCTTCCCCAAAGTAGCTGTGTCAACTCCAGGCAGCTCTGTGGATCGGATCCTGCCTGTGCAGCTGCAGGGCTGTTGGCTTGGCTCAGGGAGGCTTGCAGCTACCAGGTGTTCCCCTGGATTCCTCACCTGGGTGACAGAACATCAGATATGACTGGCTGCCCCTCATCCATGTTCAAAGTAATGGTTTAGGAAAAAAAGTAATTAAAAGGAAAAAATCAAGGTGAAAATATCTTTTTTTTATAAAGGGGATTCCCCAAGCACTTATATATCTTTCAAAGTCCTGAACTCAGTGAGGTTAGAAATTTATTCTAATAATGCAAGTACTGAGGACCTCATGTTCATGACTAGTTCTCTGAGAGCCCTTTTGGGTCCCCAGAACAAAATGTGCCAATATGTTATAGGACTCTCACTGACCCAAAATAGGAAAAAATCAGCTTACTCATTTGGTTCATTGACCAGATGATCATAAGCAAAAGTTTGATTGCTTATATGTTTAAAATCTTTAAGATAGCTACCCGTCATTTATTATAATTCACAGGCTGGACAAAAAGCCACAATCCCTTTTGCTGGTCTTTGGCTTTCTTTCTTTCTTTTTTTTTTATTCCACTTATTTTATGTAGCATGTTTTTCTCCATTTCCATATATTTACTGGCAAATGCCATAATTTCATTCTTCTTTGTGGCTGAGTAAAGCTCCATTGTGTATATAGACCACACATTTTCTTGATCCATTCATCTATTAATGGGCATCTGGGTTCATTCCAAAATTTGGCTATTGTGAATTGTGCTACTTTAAACACTRAAGCAGCTATACCACTATAGTATGCTGATTTTAGTTCCTCTGGATAAACACTAAGGGGTGGTATAGCTGGGTTTACGTGGTAGTTCCATTCTTAGTTTTTTGAGGCATTTCCACACTTTTTCCCATCAGAATGGTTCTACTCATCTGCCATCCCACCAACCATTGTTGGTGTACCTTTTCCCCCACACCCTCGCCAAGACTTTTTATTATTTGTGTTCTTGATCATTGCCACTCTGTCAGGAGAGAGAGGAAATCTTAGTATGGTTTTGATTTGCATTTCAAAAATGAGATGTTGAACATTTTTTTCATATATTTGTTGGCCATTTGTATTTCTTCTTTTGAGAATTAGTTCTTTTCCCCATTTGTTGATTGGGTCATTGTTTTTTTGAGGCATTGAGTCTTTGGGGTTCTTTATGTATTCTGGATATTACTCCCCTGGTAGAGGAGTAGCTGGAAAATATATTTTTTTTTCCGTTCCATAGGCTCTCTCTTCAGTCCCTTAATCATTTCCTTTGTTGCATAGATGCTTTCTAATTGATGGCATCCCACTTACTGATTCTTGGTTTTATTTCTTGAGCCTCAGGGGTCTTGTTGAGGAAGTCAGTACCAACACCTGTGTAACTGAGTGTTACCCTTTGTTTTCTTCTAGCTTTGAAACATTTCCGGTTTAATTCCTAAGTCTTTGATCTATTTCTAGTTAACTTTTGTGCACAGTGAGAGATAAAACTCATTTTATTCTTTTATGTAGGAATATCCAGTTTTCCCAGCATCATTGAACAATGATTCAGCTGAGAAAGAAATCAGGAAAATCATCCCTTTCACGATAACCTAAAATAAAATACTCGGGGAATTAATCTAATCAAGGAGATGAAAGATCTCTACCGTAAAAACTATAGAACACCAAGAAAAGAACTTAAGTAGACCACAGGAGATAGTGACGGACAGGCAGAATTAATATTGTCAAAATGGCCATACTACCAAAAGCAATGTACAGATAMCATGCAATCCCCATCCAAATACCAATGAAATTATTCCCAGAAGTCTTCACAGAAAAAAATCAGTCCTTAAATTCATTTGGAAGAATAAGAAACTCAGAATAGCCCAAACAATTCTGAATAAGAAAATAATGCAGGAGGCATCACCATCCCTGATCTCAAATTATACTACAGAGCTAGAGTAGCAAAAGCAGCATGGTCAAAAAAGACAAGAAGACCAATGGAAYAGAACAGAAGACACAGAGACAAATCCACAGATTTACAACCATCTGATACTTGACAAAGGTGTCAAAAATACATGCTGGAGAAAAGACAGCCTTTTTAAAYGAATGCTTTTTTATTCAATCATTATTTTTTAGTTTCAGTCGCATCTTTAAATTCACCAATCTTTTCTTCTGTAGTTTCTAATATGCTGTTAGTCTCATCTACTATATTTTTTTCCATATATATTATGTTTTATCTCTAAAAGGGCATGCATTTTATGGCTTCAATTTCCCTGCTCATTCTGATTATGTTTTCCTGTATTTTTTAAAATGTACGAAGCATATTTATAATAACTGCTTTTTAATGTTCTTATCTCCTTGTTCTATCATCTGGGCCACTTCTAGATTTGTTTCTGTTGATTTTTCTTCTAGYGTGGAGGTATTTCCCCGCTTACATGCGTGCCTGGTAATTCTGACTGGAGGCCACACATTGTGAACRTTACACTGCTGGGTGCTGGAGTTAATTGCAGTCCTTTAAATATT